CCAGGATTATATATTTGCTTATATGTATTGTTACTTGCTAATTTCCTGTACTGGAAACTCGTCATATGTCTCAGTTTTGATATATTTTAATTTTCACACAAGTACATTTTCTCCAGTAAAATAAAAATGTATTAGAGATATCTCCTGGATAAATGTTCCCTTTCATTTGTCACAATTTAGGTATCTGATGCTTTCTAAGGACTGTCTTTATTATTGTTGTAGACCTGGAGCTAGAAATTTTAAGTAATTTTTATCAATAATTCATCATTACTAGAGTCGATCATATTTTTATTCATAATTTAGTTTTTTCGAATTTGAATATTTACAAGAAAAAAGAATTAAGAGAAATTTCTTACACTGTTTGTAATATTTCAGCACATCAATCATTTGAAAGGATGAAAAAAAATACTTTCGTGATCCCTATTATATTGTTGTAAATTATCCCCTGAAAAAATAACGACGGCCAACGATGGTCTTACCTATCGAATGCTACTTGGACAAAGGTCAGAAAGCGACGAGTGTTAGAATTGTTCCACCTGCTTCAAAAGAACTCAATCGAGCTATATATGCAGCGAGAGCGGCAGTCTAGTTCGGAAAGTGCAGTGCGAAGTGAGCTTATAGGGTTTATAGACATTTGAGCATGTCTGAAGGTTTTTGAAAAATCTAACAATACACAATGACAGGTGTAACGCTTTCCAAAGCCTTCGACTGTGTTTTCCATAAGCTACTGTTGACAAAGCTACAACACTACGGCATGAGTAGGCTAACTATCCAATAGACGAAATATGTTTCAGTCAACGAAACTACTTCCAAACAAGCTATTCTTGAATATGGACTACTTCAGAAACTATTGTCCTTAGTCACGGAATATGTACTCAAAAAGATGGCACAGGAACGAAATATTATTGCCAACTTAAGCTCAAGTGAAGAGTGTCGTTGCAAGAAGAAACACGACATTCCAAATATAAGATGTCATAATACTCTGAGGAGTCCCTGAAAATGTCGATTTTGAACAAGTTATGAAAAAAAAAAGTGGAAATTAGACCATTCAGTTGAGAAAATTGTAGAGCCTTCAATGAAGATTCGCCGGGTTTCATTTAATGAAAACACCATAGCTTTTGCTTATAGCTAAAATCTTCCTAAATAAGCATACCTATTTATTATTATATAAATATTTCAAATTGACACGTCATAACAACATTATATAAATGAGTTAACATAATTCGGTAATAACAAGAATGTTTGATTAAATATTAAAATGTAGGCCACTGCAGGTAGAAAACGATCCTAAAGCTCACAACATATTTTGATTGCGACCCGTGTGTGATACAATAATAGGTTAGACCTGGTAAAGTAATATAAACCGGCCTATATCAGCTGTGGCAAATCATAACAAAATCTTCTTTGAGCTCTCTGTTAGCATTTTGCATTCATGATGAGCATTTATTACTTTTCACTATTAAAAAACAGCATACAGATATCAATCCCTAAGCATTCATTTCAACTGTATTAATATAAACTCCAAACTAACTACAACATATGCTAGTTTTTATTAATAGATCACATATGAATAATTTTGACTTTTTGAATCGTCAGAGAGTGTCTGCGCTCACTCATAACTTGCTTTTCTGTTCTTGCAGACTACTCGTTCCCGCACTTGGTGCTGATCCTGTCTGTGGTGTCATGCGCCGCCCACTTTGCCGTCAAGATGGACCAAAGTATCTCGTCGCTGATTCTGACGACGGTCTCTGAGCCGCGAAACGTCGTCATCCTGCTGGGGCACTGGTGCCTGCATGCGTACGGCATCGTGTCCCTCACGCAGCTCTCCAACCCCCACCTGCACCCGCTGCTAATCCTACTCGTGCCGCTCCCCGCAGCCTTCTATGTGCTGACCGCGCGCTTCACTGATCCCAACAAGTCACACTTTTAGTATTTGGTGTCTAGTAGTGGCGGCAGATGGGGAGCGGCGACGAGGGAGGAGGGCGTCGGAGGGGCCAACGCAGTTATCCAGCCTCGATCTGCCATCGTCGAGAGCCATTGAGTTTGCAGCACGAAAACGAAGCTATGTCCATGATCGGCTATCCTGGTTTTACCTCTTTTAATTCGGCTCAACCCATTAGTGCATAGCCAAAAAACTTTTAGATCAGTTTTGAATTTTATGATTATTAGAGGTTAATGTGATGTAAATAAAATCTAGAATTTTTTTCCAAACTATATGTTCGAATTTTTGAGAAAAGAAACATCCATTTAAAATATGCAAAAGACATACTTTTAAGTATGTCTTTTGCACTTATTAAGTATAGTTTGATAAAACATGATTTGAGTAATGAAGCAATATTGCATTCAACGTATAACTTTTATGGGGAACCTTACATTTTCTGTCATTTCAATGCAAATCAACTCAAATCCCTTAGTAGATGGCAGCAGAATTGAATTCGTCGATCAAGTATTTGGGTTTCATGGTAGGTAAACCTTATCATTCAGTGAATATTTGTTTATTAAAAAACTTCATTTAATTACGCAGAGGTTAACGTCTTACATGTATTGTATTACAAGCGCTAACAGCTTCCCATGGAAAGTACTTGCTATGCAGCATCAGCAAATGTTGGAGGTATATTTTTGGAGATATTATTTTTTGTATAAAAGTGGAAAAGTAAAGCTTAGATAGAAAATATTAATAATTAACATGTACATAGTTATATGGAAATTAAATATTTTATTAAATCATTTGAATAAACATAAATACAAATACAAGTCAACTATTAAAAAAATCGAAGAACGGTCATTTATCAGTACAAATTAAGTTTGGTCGTTATCAAAACTCTCAATGTTTGATCGAAAGCAGAGCAAACAGAAAGGCCGATCTTGTCAACACACCAATCGAATGACGTAATTGGCTGATCTGACAGGGTGCAGTTTTGCAATAGTGACAAATCCCCCACTATTCCATATGGTACTCCTTCGGAATCTTTCTCCACTCTCTTGATTGGATAGTTACTGAAAAAAAAAGATACCTGGAGAATATGTTATTCTTTGAATATATCACTGCTTCTAACATTTTCTAAAATGATTGAAACTCCCATAACAGCATATTATATATGCTCAGGTTAATTTTCAAATATCTAAAAACAGTAATTTCGCAATATCCCATCTTCCGCAAGTGTTAAATTAAAATTTGAATGGGGATAGAGCACTATTTTGTAATTTATTTACAAAAGCATTCGACTGTGTTAATCACAGAATACTTCTACAAAAACTTAAGGGGTTTGCATTCAGAGGAAAAATCATATAACTGCTTTGATTCCTACCTCGGCAATGGATTTCGATTTGTTAAAGCATCTGCTGTTGACCACATTAATAACGGTTTATCAGTTGATTTATTCCTAATGTATCTAAAGAATTGCTTTGGAGCGGATAAAAACATTGCTACCTTGAAGAAAATAATATTTGAAGATCTAAGAAGACTCGAGATTTGGTGTGATTCTAAAATATCTTACGATATATCCTAATGACAGACTTTATAACACCCAACAAACAAATAATGTACCACTAATATCAATATAAACTTCTAAAGCATACTGCAGCTTTGATAAATTTTACTGTGACAAATTCTAAGTTCAGTTTTCAATTGATATCAATTTAGATTCAGTATTTAATGTCAAATTTGACAAACACTGAATGTACATACCCACAATTATGTAACCTACATACCTAGGTTATATAATTCTTGTCTAATTCCAAGATTTTTACACACCGTTAATAATATATTCTTCAAGATAAAAAGTATCATTGACAACAAGAACATTTTGTCCATTTCATTTGACTTACTATTTCCACAGACATAAACTCCCAGCGCCTCCCGTAGTCATGAAAATTTCCCTGTTTTGTGGCAAATGCCTGACAGTCCACACCGTAGATTCGTGCGCTTTTTCAGTTAAGCAGGCGAATCCTTTTTTCGGATGTTGGGTTCTCACGTCGAAGCAGTAGATCTTCGATTCCAGCGTCGTAGCTACAAGTTTGTTCATCGGTATCGTTTTTCGATCAAATTGTAAACTGACGACCTGGACAGAAACTTGGCAATCGGGCTGCAAATTACGAAATTCCCGATAAAAAAAAACCAATACACTAAGTTAATTATCTAGTACGATCTTTGAGTAATTTGACTATTTTGGAACTTTTATTGAAGAGAGCGAGGTCCATAGCTGTTCGTCCGTTCCTAGTTCTGGCTGCGACATCCGCACCTCCATCGATCAGCAGTTCGGCTACACGTATCGAGTTATTTTCTGCAGCCACGTGCAGGGGAGTCTTCTGGTTCTGTTCTCTCGCCTCCTTGTCAGTATTGGAATGAATCAAAAGCTGCGCTACGTCACCCGAGTCTTTTTCCGCAGCCAAATGCAAAGGCGTCATTCCGTCCCGAAGTTTGGCGTCAATTTCAGCGCCTTTCGCCATTAAAAAAGTGACGACGTCGACGCTGTTCTGGAGGACGGCGTCGTGTAGCACCGACTGCCCCGCGGAAGTTTTCTTGTTGACGTCCGCTCCCTTTTCTACCAAATACTCCGTCACCAGCAAAAATTTCGAGGCCGCGTGCAATGCCGTGACGCCCGAGACGTCTTCTATCTGTAGCAAGTAGCTGTGGTTGCTGCTCTTTTCGAGAATCAGCTCCAGAGTATTGATTCGACCTTCTTCTGCCAATCTCACGATGTTTTTGCTCTCATTCCAAGGAATCTGACCTACAGCCGAGCCGCACGCTTCCAGAATATCTTTCGACACCTGCTCATTCGCCAGATGATTCTCGAAGAAGGATCTCACCACTGAAAATTCTGTAGGCACGAACACGTGTCCCAGAAGGAAATGCAGGAATTGCCAATTGTAGTTTCCAGAGTCCAGTTCGTCCCAGAGACAGCTCGCCATGAAGTATTCAGCAAAGGTCTGATGCGTGAAGATCCAAGAACCATCAATTTTGTGAACGATGCCCATGGCTTGAAGAGTGTCTTCATCGGGCGCATTCGCGTCTCGATACACTGCGAATAGCTGACACCTTTCGGGATCTATAATTGTCTGAAGAGCTATCTTTTTGTGGACTTGCAGCGATCGATGGTAGTGCTCGTTCACGATTTCTTCGACGGTGCCGATGTCGTTGCATTTTTTGTCGATGTAAATTTCACCTTTTTTTGCAACGAACATCTGATACAATTTGGAGACGTTAATGTCCTCTGTTAGCTCCACGTCGGCCGATTGCGATTTTAAAAACTCGCGACACCCCTGCCATTTAAAAATCCCCTGTCGGCCGCCCTGTTGGAAGATGTCCCCGATCATTTTGGTTTGGAGGGGGATTCCGATGAAGCTCCACGAAGCGTGTCCGATCGAGCAGTTCAGCTTCGCCATCAAACGTCTCGCGTACAGTTCACATCTGGAACTGTCGCTTTTGTCTAGACCGAGGTTTGTTCTCCAATACTTGGTGAGAAAATGTATTTGATCTTCAGGGGAAAACAGCTCCAGTTTGAAAGAGCTCACATTCAGTTTCTCTTCTAACAAGTTTTCCAACTGCGGTCTCGTCGTCACTATGATTTTCGATATATTTATTCTGGCGAAGCAATTTTCCAAAAACTTCAAGATCATTTGGGTGTAGGAGGAGTTGACTTCGTCTACGGCATCTGTTATCAACACGACTTTGTAGGGTAGATCGAAGAGCTTCTTCTGAAAATTACTTACAAGCGCTGAAGTAGTAGTGCCGAGTATGTCTTCCACTTGGATCGATTCCTTACCGACCTGTCTGAGTTTTCGAAGCAAATTCGCGTATCTGTTCCAATCCAAACGAATTATCCAACGATGTCGATACTGAGAGCCTTGTAGTATTTCAGTTATTTTGGTCAATACCGTTGTTTTTCCCATGCCGGCCCCGTCCGAGATCAAAATGAATTTCTCATCAATGTCCGACACTATTAAATCGCATAAATCTTTCTCCGAGTATTTCTTTTCGTTTCTAACAAACTCCCGATTGATGTAGATGTTTCCGATACCTTCGTCATCGTGTAATTTTTCAATTTTGAGTTTCTCGCCCTTCGAAAGCTTCAACAGCGTTTCCTCATCGAAAATTTCATGAGAATCGTCTCCTGATTCGAGAACGTCTCTCAAACTAACGTTCTTCCCTTGAAAATCTACCGCTGCTCCGAGAAATGCTTTCTGGCAACTCTCTTCCAGGTCGTCAAAACAAATTCTCAATTCGACAATTTGAGCATTTGGAATGTTTTTTGAAACATCTTTTTTATCAGAAAAAAGTACCACCGTTTTATATGTCTTGTCAGATATTTGTTCTAAAAGCTCATTTATGCGAAGATCTGCGTACCGTTTATCCCCAAATAAGGGTATGATTAAAAAAAGACACTCTGGATTTGCAAAGGCCTCGACCATTTCTCTTTGAATCGATAGACTGTCTTTCTGATTTACAATTATTATGGCATCCTTCCTCTTGCATTCTTCGAAGTACTCTCGATACACTTTGATCAAGCCCAGTATATAAGAATTGCTGTTTACGAGATAAACTAATCGTTTTCCCGGATTAATACATCTTCGCCTGAAAGAAATGTTAAATTCGTTGAAAGTCTGGGCGTAATTGAGACTCCGCCATAAGCACAAGTAGGTCTTGGCGTCGGTTATATCCAAGTATTCCCCTGATCCCCTCATGTACCATTGTTTAATTTTCTTTTGTATATAATCGACTGTGGCTCCTATTTCAAAACTATCACCAAATAACTGTAAATGGCTCAAAACCTGTTGGATTTCTTGTTCGAGAACAGTGTCTTGAATGCAAATCAACTGAAATTTTGCCAAAAACTCCGTCAGCTTGTCTCCGGGAATATCAGTAATACTATTTCTCAATCTATTCCGAGAAGTTTCAGTCAGTGCAAAGGCTTGGACTGATTGCGTGCAGTGGAGAATATCTCCATCGTCTATATGAACAGACGTGAGATGATCATCGGTTTCCATTCCGCTGCACATACTAATATTAGTCAATAAACGTACTCGAAACAATTCTTGAAATCCCTTAATATTGCAAAATGATTTCACATATTGACCAAGTTGAAACTCCGAGCTTTTTGAATCAAACAGATCGCTGATTCTGATTTTCGATTTTTTGTCTTCCTTGTGCTTGGCCTGCATCAGGATCGCTCCCATTCCGAGCTCTTCGTAAACGATGTCGTCAAAAGCGCCAGCATCAGACTGATTTTCAGAAGACAGCTCGAATTCGGTGCCTTTGTGCAAACCTCTCAGGAGGCACAAAGTGAGCAGTTTGATTTGAAAATCAGAACCGTGAAGTCCCGAGGAGCCGCGGAGAAAATTATATTTTCTTTTCTTTGTCCTCATCGAATTCTTTTGTGGCCTGAAAACAACAATATCAAATCATACATTACTCTACAGTCGGAAACTTTACTTAAAAACGTGATGTACGTGAAATTGTACATCAACAAACGACTTGTACACCCTGTTTATCCAACAGACTCGAACAAACCATTCGGTACATATTCAAAACATTTGATATAGACGCGATTAGGAATATGTACTCCTTCTTTTAATATATTGTTACATACTTACTCACAATATTGACTTTCGATGCCCGTTTCACGAGAAATACTAATTTTTACGACAAAATTTCAAGATAAGAAACATTCTCCAGTGCACATATTGATAACTAAGCCTTTCATCAGGCTTATCTTATCCTTGTTTCCGTTCAGCAATCATATTTCGCATTGGAAGCTGTTTTGCACATTTGAGAATGTACAAGTGGAGTTTGACGATATATGAACAGTTGAATTTCTTTTTGATGCATTTGAAAAGTAAGTATCTAAATATGAAATATAAACAAGGATTGCGGTAAACGCTAGAATTCGGTTCACTGAAAAATTAATAATTAATTGATCACGCTCCTGTTTTTCAGATTTTTATAAAATATTGTTAAAAACAAAAGAAAAACCGAAGAAAGTGCCTTCTTGGACTAAGCTCTAGGTATGGATAGAAAATATATAAAAAATTTTGGACCCCAAGGCATTGAACATCCTGGATGTAAATTTCAAATCAAACTCCTCATCTTATGCCTACTCAAAGGTTTCAAAAGCGACAAGAAATTCAAACTATCCACGGGAAATAAAAACGCTCCACACTTCAATGATATAATATTCGAAACCGTATATGGTGATATCTTGATGACCATCCATTATAAAGATAGCACGAGAACAAAACCGTTAAACTATCGACAACTACTTGGCCAAGTGCATACATTAGATAGTATATATGACGACCTTTATTTTTTTTCTCAAATCAACCAGTCCACGTTTCGAGTACGGAGCGTTCGGTACGTAACCAACATACGAGTATCCAGAAGTAAAATAATGAAGATTTCGTTTCCTTCCAAGAATGTCGAGATGGACGATGTATGTGCCTTGAGGGATGAGTATTATATTCTTGGGGAGAATTGTCAAGAAATATTGCGTAAAGGAAACCCTGATACTTCCGAGGAACATCTATCAGATTTTTTATCTAAATTTCAGCTGGTGTCCATTTCCGAAAAAATGGTCAACGAAGAAATCCGAAGAATTCTCGAAAAAATCGAAATCTGCGATTCAGAGTATTTGCCTGTAGAAGAAACAATTTATTATCTGGTAGAGAAAATCACCCGTTGGTTCTCAGATCTAAGAAGCAGCCCATTGGAAAACCATCATGCCGCTGCTTTTTTGAGTGAGTTCAGAACTTTGAATTTTTCGAATACTTTAAAACGTTATAATATCACTTTTAAAAAAGCGGATGAACAGCACACCAATCGTGTACTTCATTTGGTAAACAAAAAACATTACGTACTGTCATTGCTTAAATTTTATCATAAAGTGTTCGAAGCACCAAATAACTGGATATTTGTTGATCCAGACGAGAGACTTTCCGTTAGAAGGGTCATAGTAGAAGCGTTTTTGAGTCCAGAGAATCGTTTTCTCGTTGTCCCCATTTACGGACAATCTTCATACGGTGACTTGCGAATCGACGAGCTCCTACAAGGAATATCTAACTACGAGTATAAACGGATTGCGTTTTTATCTGACCGTGACAGTTTATCCCAAAACGTCCCGAACATTCGCATTATCGAATCACGAGTTTCTTTTGAAGACCTAGAAGAAAATTGCAAGAATACATTTCTCGATGCGTCTGTAGATTTTCAAGGGAAATACTTTAGTTTGAGGGATGTTCTTGGGCCAGAAGGGAATGCTAATGAAATTATCGACGAAGAAACGCTTTTGAAGCTTTCGACAGGCGAAAATATCAAAATCGAGAAATTATACAGAGAAGAGGACATCGGAAGCCTTTACATAGATAGAAGTTTCGTCAGAGATGAAAAAACTTTTTCAGAAAGGGATTTGTGTGATTTAGTCGTGTCAGAAGACGAAAATAAATTTATTTTAATTTCCGAAGACGCCGGGATGGGAAAAAGCACGGCGTTAACGAGAATCACAAGAATCTTGAACGAACAGTCATACCCCCGTTTCTGGGTGATCAGATTAGATTTCAACAGATATGCCAACGTATTTCGAAAATTGACTCAAGATACCGCCAAACCGATTGAAATAGAAGACATTCTGAGTTTCGAGCGCCCCATTTTTCAAAACAATTTCGACAAGAGCCTCTTCAATGTTACGAATAAGGTCTTACTTTTGATAGACGGAGTGGATGTAGTCAGATCGTCTCACAAGAATCGGGTATTACAGTTTTTGAAAAATACTGCCGACAGAACGAATATAGCCAGGATCATTATCACCACCAGACCTCATTTGGAGAGTTTACTAGAAGAAGAGTTGCGAGTGAGCTGTTTCAAGTTGAAGTTATTTTCTTCCGAAGATCAGATCAATTTCCTCGCCAAATATTGGAAATTTAATCTGGAGTTATCGCAACGAGATGCGTTGAGAGCCAAGTTTTATGCTAGAAACTTAGTGGAGAAATTGTATCGCAAAATAGGTAAGGCGTCATTAGATTTCGTCGGAATTCCTCTTCAAACTAAAATGATCGCAGAAATCTTCCAAGAAGGAGGTAGATACAAAACTTCCGAATGGAAAGGCTGCCGAGAATTTCTGATCTCGGAAAATATATCAGCAGAGATGAGCGAAGATATTAACATCGCGCGACTGTACGAAATTTTTGTGAAAAAAAAGGGAGAAATTTTCATAGACGACAAGTGCGAACCTCGAGACCACGTCGTCGTCGAAGACGTGATTCAGAATCTCTTCCAAGAGGCGCTCGATGTTCACAAGAAAATAGCACTCGAATCTGTCCTAGACTCTGAAAAGTGTAAACTATTCGCCGTGTACCGAAACACGAATATCGCTCGTTTAAAGCAGTACCTTCAGAACATGGGCCTCGCTCAAAGGATAGAAACCTCGTGGATCTTCGTCCACCAAACCTTCGCCGAATATTTCGTTTCTTCCTGCTTGTGGGAGGAGCTCAAAACTGGAAATGAGCTCTGGCCTTTTCTTCACTTCCTGGTGAGCAATGTGCTGGTATCGCCAGAATTTTCGGTGGTGAGGTCGTTCCTCGATAATATTCTGATGGATGTGCATATTCCAGAGGAGATTCTGTCCGCTTGCGGAAGTATCGTAAGTCAGATTTCTTGGCACCAACACAGGAACATCGTGCATTTAGCCAAAGAAGGTCGACTCAATATTCTAAAGTTGCTACTGGAAAAATGTAACACTCGTTCGTATCTGCTGCAGATCGAGAACATACACGGCGAGATGGCGCTCCACGAAGCGGTGGAAAACCCTCCGATATTGGAGTATTTGGTGCTTAGGGGCGCGAACGTCGATAGAGCGAACTCACGCGGTCAGACGGCGTTGCACAGAGCCAGCGAAAAAGACGGTTGCACCGACGCAGCGGATTTTCTGATTCGCGCAGGCGCGGAAGTCGATATCAAGCTCAAAGACGGCAGAACGCCATTGCATTGCGCCGCTCAGAAAAATTCGTTCAAGGTAGCCGCCATTTTGATCGCTGGCCAGGCCGATTTGAATGCTACGGAGCAAACGACGATGAAGACACCTCTGCACCTGGCCGCAGAAAATGATTCCTTGGAAGTAGCCCGGCTACTGATCAAAGCTGGAGCGAAAGTCCTCGCCAGGACGGGGAACCAGCAGACTGCTTTGGAGCTCGCTCAGTTAAGCAGAAGTTCCAGGATTATCAAATTACTGAAGGATGAACTTACATCATGTTAACCCTATCAACATTTGAAATACTCTCATTTGATTGAAAATTGTCATATTTTTTTCATTACCAACCATTATAACATTACCTGCTATAATGTTGAATCGTTGTAGTTACTCATAGGATATTTCTGTACCCCGGATGTATAGAAACAACATGTTGCATTCACAAAATTTCACAGAAGAGCAATTATAAAATTTATTACATGCTGTATTCCTCTAAGAAGAGGTGGACTTGGTTGTAAGTCGGCAAATTTTGGCATCGAACATGGTGTAACATACCACTTGATAGGCAGCCAGCAAAATTTCAACATAGTCGATTCAATAATTCAATTTTGAATTGAAATGGACATGGGGTACAGATTCAAGAAAACAATTTTTCAGAAAAATTTACAAACATGATATTTTGTATTTTTCAAGAGTCACTTCGAGGCAGTTTTCAACCAAATTGGTTGGTGAAATACCCAAAGAGAATATTATATTTTTGTTGATTGGAAAAAGTGCTTGTTTTTGTATTTATTCTTCGCCAGAGGTTCCTGGTTCACCTTTATTAAGTCCAATCAATGTTTATTAGTCCAGTAACCACAGTGAAAGTAATGAAAATAGTAAAAATTATAAAGTACAAGTTTGTTAGTAGTGATACCACATTTCACTTATTATAATCAAGTTTTACATTGCACATATTGTGGACACATTAAAATATATTATTAACAACTCATTCAATTTACCCCAAAAACACTAACTTTTTGACACTTGTTTCTATTAGTGCTACTTCATGTTATTTCAGTGATATGTTGTAATATTCTTTGGAAATAAAATTTATTTAATTATTAGTTAATCATTGAATGCTACAAAGTGAAAATCACTGTGATGAGCTGAGAAGAAATTATAATGAGCTAGAAAAATTATTATGATGAAATAACCCATCTAATGGAAAACTAATGGAAAACTTAAATGAAAAATGGGAATATATTCTGAGGAGAGATAAGTTTTTCGGAAAGGATTTGCCTTTTTACTTCTCCATCTTTATACAAAAAATATGGGAATCTTCCAAAGACAGGAAGAAAGTGATTATTTTCAAAATAAACTAACATTCCATTCCACTCAATTTCATAACGAATGTTATGTTATCAGAAATCATTCACATGATTGTACACAATATTACTATATGAAAATAATAAAATTTCACTTACATGGAATACTTGTCATTCCCAATGGCGGACAAGGGGGATTCGGAATAAGACACTTGTATTATAGCCACTTCAGCACATTTTGTGTGTAAAGATGGAGAAATAGAAAGCCAAAACCCTTCTTTCCTAAATAAAATTCAATTGAAATAAACCAACCCCATTTTTGACGCACTTGGACCATCTCACGGACATACTTCTAAGATCGTAGAGCTTGATATCTCCGTTGTCATAACCAGCTGCGAGTAGCCTTTCTTCGTTACTATAAGAATCACCGAAAGCCACAGCCCAACAATCCCTTGCAGCTGCTTCTTCTGCGGGTATGAATTTAGCAACTGGCGATTCTTTTTGTCGGACATCCCACACCATTACAGAGCCTGAAAGTTGAAGTACTTTACTTGTTGAGCTGGTTCTAAATGAAAATGTTTGTGAGATATTTTATAAGTCATGAACCTATGGTGCACTTACCGTCTCGCGATCCGGTAGCAATTTCTGGTGCTCCACAGTTAGATGTTGTTCCTCCTACACCATCGATGGAATTGATGACAGCGGTATGCTTTGTAGATTTGTAGACTGGCAACATAGGATCTTCCAAGTCCCTGTTGAATTCATTCAATGAAATTAAATTATAGAAGATAATGACTTGAAAGCGATCATTAAACAATATAAGAAATACTTTTACCACACCAGAACAAAAAAAGGTGTTTCTCGACGCGCGACACGCAAACCAAGTTTCTATCATAACTTAACGCCAAATATATAACTATAAAATACTATCCAGAGAAATATCTACCTATGTTAAATAATTATTGGATAGTAATTTCACAGCACGCAAAATAAACAATGTATTGTGTAGATATTGATGCACATATTACAAATTAATTTGTTCTATTTGATGTAATGGAGAAATTATTTCAATTCGTTCCTGTCCCAGATTGTTTTACAAAAAAATTCGTAACATATTTTTGGATTGTAATGCCTCAAATATATAATCCAAAATTTGGGAACGTTTCAGACACAAACAATTTCAGAACAATCCTCAGAAAAGTTAGTATTCCATATTAAATTAAGTAGAGCATACCTACCAATAATAACTGAATTGAAAATAATTATAACTGTATGTCTATGGACTACTGCAGGTACAACCATAGTATAAAGATCTTTATACTATGGTACAACTAGTACAAGAAATACAAATACAACTATACAAAATGCAGTATTATTCAACACAGAAATGGAATTACCCTTATAGAGAGAGAGTAAGAAATATGAAATTCATTAAGAAAATTTCAGAACTGTTCAAAGTATCATCGCTTATTTGGATATTGCTTGACAGTTTGTTAATGTCCAATGGCTCCTTAGTTGATAAAAATTCATGGATCTTGAAAATAGAAATAAAATAATCTGCCTTTCATTGTCAACTGATTTGGGATTTGGATGTGATTCCAGTACATCTGTTGCATTTCAATACCTAGTACTTGTTTGCCAACATATTCACGTCGATTAAGTTTCTATCAATAAGTTATATTAGTTGTTAGTATGATTGCTTTCAAGTTAGTGACATTAAATTTCAGTCTGATATTATATAAAAACAGTGCTACATTCTGTAAGAGATTAATGAACTCAATTTAGAATATAATTGATGTTATTCAAATGATATCACATTGTTTACTTTAGTACACTGCTGGGATTTGTTGGATAAATAACTTTTGAACTATTGCAACACGTTGTTATTTTAATTTTGAAGGAAAATTGTAATACTTTTTCATGATTTGTATTTTGGAAGTGTTATCATTATATAATTTTCTTTTTTCAAAGGAAATAAAGTGATTAAAGGAAATCATTTCATCTTGAACGTTTTAGGCACTAGAACAATTGTACAAACAACTATTTGGAAATTTGTCCATTTTTCAAGGAAGTATTTCTAATATACCAGTGACGACCTAATTGTGAGAAAATTCTCTCAAGTATTAAGTTGATAGTATCAGCATTGCGCTCATCAATGTTTTGTACAATTGATTTTAAATCATACAGACTGCCAAAATATTTGAAGATAGGTTTTGCATTGCATACAATTGCATTGAAGTTTTTTTTGCTTGACTATGGATCCCGGGGATAAAGGAATTATAATCAAAATTGTTGAAGTTCATTACCACCTTCAACGCATTACCATATTTGCAGCCTCCCAGAAAAGTCTCCCGTTGCCAAATGCCTACTTCTCAAGCTGGATGCTTCGAAGGTGCAGCACTTGAAATGATCCTTCTTACAAAATTCACTCTGCTTCTCGACTCCCTCGCCCGTCAACGCGTATATCTCCACGATGCCGGCCCCATTCGATTTTCCTCCGACAGAAACGAACTTTGCAGAACAGGGAATCCACTTGACGTCGTGAATGGCGTAATTCACGGATTTTTCCTTGTGGCAGATTATTTGGGGCTTCTGCAGTTGTTCCATGACTTATGAAGGTGCTACTAACTCTAATAATGATATAACAGCATACAGTTGCTATAGTTACGACTGATATGACGAAGATATGTGTATAGAGTGTATTCTTTTTACTAGCTCATTTTAAAATGAAGAACAAATATTTAGATATTGTAGATTTGGTACAAGTTTAGGAAAAATTAGTCAAAAAATTACCTATAAGTATTTGGAAAAATCAATAAAAATATTACAGTTATGTTAATAGGAGTTTGCAGGGTTAATGATTGCATATACATTCTCCATTTGAAAATAATACTTTTTTAGGGTGCCACAATTTATGTTTCAAATTTGAATTAATTATATTACAAAAGTTGCCTTATTTAGTCAGTTGGTTTTGAAAAAGAAATACAAAATTTATTTGCTAACAATATTGTTCATAATATTTTTAATTTAAGCGAGAAATTTGTTGCGCCTTCACTTTCTTTTCAGTCTCAGCTATCAGGTAATCGATTTCTTCAATTGAAAATATTTTTTTCTTCATTGGTACACTGGACACGACCGTCATCTTATCCTGTAACAAAATCGTTTTCATAAACTCAAAACTGATTATACACTATACGCACTATGTCTATATGGGCGACATGGATAGTTGAAAAAAAAAAGCGGAGTGCCTCAAGGATCAATTCTAGGACCCGTTTTTTCCTTGTACATATCAATTATTTGGCTACAGTTAATTCATTGGGTAGATTAGAAATATAGAATAAAGAAAATACTTTTGTCTAGTTTCTACTGTACATTTTCAAGCAACATTTTCAAGTTACTTGAAAATGGCCTGATAAGCCGAAACTGGTCGTAACGAATAAATAAACACAGTAGAAACTAGACAAAAGTATTTTCTTCATTCTATGTTCATCATGAATTTTTACAAAATAAATAAGACATCTGAGTTAGATTAGAAAAGGACAATAGAAATTTCATTCAAAATGAAAAAAAAATTGTACCGTTAAAATACCTTAAATTGATTCAATCTTCAATAGTTTATTCAAAAATTCAACATCTAATATCATTATACGAAATAGCAACAGGTACATTATTGAAACTAATCAAAAAATTCCAAAATAAAATCTTAAAATCATAAACTATATACTCGAGTTAAACTACAAAATTACTACAATCAACTATATAAATAAAAAAAAGTATTAGATTTGTCATCATTACATAAATTTAAATTGTGTATATCTGACTTTCAAAATCAACAGTGACCATCGCAACCATTCAGCAAGATATAACGGAAACGTATAATATTGAGGAAAATACGAATTATTGAAAGATTTCAAGTTTTACATTGAGTTGCCAAAAGCTTTCAAAAAAGTGTACCGAATAAAAATTCCAAATTAATTTAAATAAATATTTATTGCAGCTGTGCATATTTATTATATGTACAACGTTTATAATTATTTTTTATTATTATTAGACTCTCAAAATATATTCAATCATCTAGTTTTAGTTGTGATTCATCTTTTTTGTTAAGTTATGGTTAATTTTTTCCTACGGAGAAGATGCATGTTTTTTAGAAAAACAAATTGTTATTATTATTAATTCAGGCAGATTGACACTTACCCAAAGCTGTATGTACTCTGGAGATGACGATTCTAAATGTAGCAATCGATCTTCTATCACTTGTAACCTCTGGTAAATATTTTTGGGGACAGGATTGTTTATGCTCAACTGGAATTCGGCATTTTCTAATCTTTCTTCAATGCCATTGGAAGGGACAATTTTTGCCATATAGTTGAAGTCACGCTGATCTCTATGCTGATAACTATTCACTGTCTGATTCACTAGAAAACAAATACTCTCAAATTACGGATCCATTTTAAAGCCAACTCTTTACCTTCCAAATGGCTGTTGGAGCCGTTCTTCTTTTCAAAAGCAGTGTCAGATTTCAAACACATATCCTCCGAAGTCTCTCTTTGATTTTTGAGGTAATTTTCACGAATCTTTCGTTTTTGGAACTTCAACAGTCTTTCTTTTATATCATTACACTTTGCTTTAACTTGCGTTGAATATGGTGAATTATGCAATCTTTCTAAAGACTGATTTATTTCCGTTCTCCGTCTGCGCTGATTTACTAAAAAACCGAACACAAATAAATGTGTATCAAATCAACCTTTCGATAAAAGTTTGGGAATTAATGAAAATTAATAACACTATATAATAACGCTTCAAGAAATGAAAATGTTTGGAAAATTGTGTGATTATTATCATGGATAAAATTTGTTCAGTATTGTACTCTATATCAAAATTACACGCAGTTTTATTTTCAATATTTTAAGATTTTTAGAGATTACCAGATGATGTTTCTGTTATCTGAACATTATTACTCTTCTCAATGAGAGATCTATTGAAATGAAAGTTGACGAATCAACTTCTACCCTTTTTGGTATCTTTGTAGGATCTCACAATATATGATGAAGATTTGTACTGCAAGTTTATTTCTGTTGTTCCTTAATGAAACGACTAGAAGGCAAATAGAAGCTTTTATCTAACCAGAAAGCAAAACATAGATAAATTCTCTTAATTCAAACTGCCTAAAAGAAACCACTAAAGTCTAGCATATTTTTAACATTCGGCATTATTGGAAGACCACCCACATTCCTTGTTCTCCTTCCACTGAGATTCAGAGTCAGCATATATCTCTTTTTTCCATATGGGGACGGATTTCTTAACGTTGTCAATACACCAGTTGGTTGCTTTGATTGCTTCTTCTCGGTGAGGAGACGAAATTCCAATTATTATGCTCATCTCTTTCACAGGTACCAGTCCCAACCTGGAAATTAACATCGATATAGACAAAGATTATCTAATAAATTATATTTCACTTATATTCATAATATATCGATAATATATAGTCTAGCATTTTTTTCAGTTGAGTGGAAGAACATTTCAGTACAAAAAAATATCCAAATATAATGAACTCCTTCCATTTCTTCTATTTTATTCATCATTTTCATTGATATAAATATAAACTTATATAACTTACATTAGAAATAAAGTCAATCAGTATTGAGTATGAAAGGTGTTGGTCAATTCTTTTTGAACAATATCTATTCACTCTCAACGATCTTTCTTCAGACTACCACGATACTTACATATGATGTAAACTTACCTATGATATATAGCTATATTTTGAACTGTAGGCCATTTATCTCGAATTTCCTCACACAGCTTCTCCATTGCTTTCAATGCCATAGATTCATATGCTTCGTATTCTAATGTTATAACATTTTTACCTTCTGAATTGTCTCTTGTAGTCCCTATGAACAGGGAAATTGCTCCACAAGTATTGCACTTTACTAAATCAATTATTGAATCGGAGGACAATTTTTCCTTTGTTAGTTTCAAGTGATTCATTTTGAAAAGTTTGTTTTAGCCACCGCTCAAAGGAGGAATAACTGCTATTTCGTCACCAGCTTTCAAGGTGATTGTGGTATCTTCACAGAATTCTTCATTAACAGACAAAATCAAGTTATCTTTTATATCTTCAAGAGAATAGAAGGAAACAATTTTATCCAACAGTTCTTGGTAAGTCAGAGAAGGCGTTATATTAATGAAATCTGAGCTTTTGCCGACAATTTCTCTTGCTTTAGCAAAAAATAAGATTTTTATATGAACATTCATTACTCTATTCACAGACCATATCGAAAGCATGTATTTCTCGCGGTCCACGTAATCTGTAAAGCAAGTATTCAAGTACACTTATCAACCAATTAAAATATAAGTACATATGATTACTCCCTATCAAAATATAAACACAAAGATAATTATTTCACCATTTCACGGTGACATTCCAGCATAGTTATGCTGTGGTGACATCAACTGTTTGAATGTTTCTGCTATTATTGTTATTATTTTTTTGGCTCTGCTTCGTGAGCAATTTGCCAGTCATCGGTGATACGAACCATCACCCTTCCGTCTGGTTAGGTTGTCTTACTTGAATGATACCATAAACACCTAATTCTTCCTAGAATATAACTTATTTTCCTTCTTAACTAACGAAAAAATATAAAACCAACAAACCAGGTGTATTATAACACTCTGTTCGCTACGGGGCAACGGCGGAGCATTACTCACACTCGAAATGTTGCCTAGAACCATCCACATAAGTCGGTGCCTAGAACATCCAGAGGAGTTTTCTGGCGTTCATTCGTATTCGAGCGTGTATTAAAAAACGATTCGTATTGATATCATTAATAATAAGATTCGCCAAAATGGAATGATTCAATTTGTGTCAAATGTCAAATTCACTAATACAACGAAACGTTCAACTTTTCTCTCGCCTCAATTATAAAGGATTTGTGCATACAATATTTGCCTAAATATTACAAATGTACCTAGCTGCATTTTTGAAACAGTGTACCTGAATTCTTTTTTCTATTCAAAATATGGACCAACAACGAAAGTGTTAAAATCGACATCCAAGTAAAAATTTCCCAGCTTTATTTTGTAAGGTTCGAAATAAATGAACATTTCAACCTAGCAGACCACTATTATAATATTCATGCAGTCATTGTTCATTGTGGTTCTGGCGTTGAATTTGGTCATTATTACGCCTTGGTCAAAGAAGAAACGGACTGGTTTAAGTTTGACGATAGTCGTGTCACGAAGTGTTCTGGCGATGCATTGAATTTATTGGAGCCTCTGGAGACACCCTACGTTTTGTTTTATAAGAGAGAGGACATTGTTAGATCAAGATCTTCAGATGATGTGGTGCTGCAGGTTTTTCTGAGTTTTCCTGCAGCTAAAAAAGCAAATGCGCCACTGGAATCAATGACGTCGCCCCGGAGCGCCAATAAATTTTTATTTTATTTTTATCGTTGTTTTAATAAAATGTTCATTAGTAAGTTATGAAAATTGTGTAAATTTTAATCTACCAAGAGAGTAGATTTTACATTCACTGGTCCTTGAGACAGACCAAATATACACGGGCCTAATGCACAAATACCTAAATGCACACTTTAATTATAAAAGATCAAATTATGATTAACTTACTTGATAGTGTGTCGTAGTGTGATTTTGTTCTCTTGGCAGGAGACACTTTCACTCTCTAAATTAACACTGTCAGACATATTTTATTTTTAATTATTTTAAAAAATTATTTAGTAAAACAAAGGTTATGTATACTGTAGTAAACAAAACTGTATACACTATTGGTATCCCAGCTAATTATGGTGAGAGATATAGGCTAAAGCCGAACCTCTATGAATAGAAGCGAATAGTCGCTTGCACATGGCGTCTGTGATGGCGTCATGATATGATAAAAATCGTAACGTACAACGTACCATGTGGTTGTTCCAAGTTTCAGACATTTTGAATGTCACATAAAGGGTAATGATTGGATCGAGATTTTATAATATGTATTATTGCCTGACGTGATACGATTAATATCGTTCACGAACAATATAATTAAAGGCACTAAAGGTGTTTAGTGTCATTTAGACATCCTGAATGTCATAAGAGGGGTAATGATCGGATCACCAAAGACTAGCAAGTTGCTCGAGATAGCAAAGCCGTAATAAAATAAACACAAAAATTAAAAAGAAGTAGAAAAGTTCAAAGTTCAGAAATAAACAAAGATACGTCAAATGTACTTTGTAGGATTTATTTGAAGAAAATGGGTAATCGTTCATCTCTGCTTCTACGCGAAGAAGAAATTGCTCAGATTCAACAGGAAACTGGATGTGAGTTCATTTTCTATTATGAAATACTGTCGAAATAATTTTTATTGCTTTGCAGTTACCCCAAATCAAATAGAAAGACTCTACTCTCGATTCACTTCTCTTGACAGAGGAGATTGCGGCACCTTAAGCCGAGATGACTTTCTACGAATTCCAGAGTTAGCAATTAATCCACTGGGTGAGCGAATCGTCAACTCCTTTTTTCAAGGAGATGAATTCAATGACAGGGTCAACTTCAGGCAGTTCATGCAAGTTCTCTCTCATTTCAGACCTGTGAAGAGAAACAAAGACAACAAATTGAATTCCAGAGAGGAGAAGTTGCGTTGTAAGTAAAGGAGCAACTCATTTTTTCAAAAATAGATAATCGTATCAATTTTCAGTTGCTTTCAAAATGTACGATTTGGACAACGATGACATGATTTCTAAAGACGAACTACTAGCCATCCTGCACATGATGGTGGGAACAAATATAAGTGAGGAACAACTCAACAGCATCGCCGAGAGAACAATCGTTGAAGCTGACGAAGATGGTGATCAGATGATATCCTTCGAGGAGTTCTGCAAGGCCCTCCAAAGGACTGATGTTGAACAGAAAATGAGCATTCGATTCTTAAATTAATTGAATTCAATCACATACAAAATTTATTTTCTTTGTGATTATTATTGCCAGAAGTTTTTCTAGACCATTATTGTTAATTTGTACCAAACATGTAAAATTGTACATAAGGTTGTCCCGAAGAACTGTTGAAATATCTAAGAATGAAATCTTAACAAAACCGAAATATACAACAACAAAAGAGTCAAAATGAAAAAAATTGTTTCACAAATTGTGAATGTTCACGTTTCAACAGTCTCGTAGCTACAGGGTTATTCTTTTGTTGCTTCTTTTTTTTTCCTGGCAGCTGACTAAGTTACGGAAATGATGTAACCTTTTTGAGCCTATCTCTTGGTGGTTTCTTTCGTACAACCACTATTTCCCAATCTTTAACCAGTGACTGGATTTTAAGATCGGTAAATTCACAAATCTCTTATAAGTCACCAAATTGCATATACAACTCATTATATATGAGGGCAGTAAAGTGCTTTTCATTATATGCTATATCATTCTATTTCTATCTTTCCCTTTCACAACATGTCGTTCTGATAACATACCTATAAATAAGTCTGATTATTTGAAGTCTTCTCCCTTGTTTTGGATTCCCATTATCTAAAAAAATATTAACAGATTTGAAAAAGAACAGTGCTAAAATTGAAAAATGTGTAGATGAGTTAGTTACATTGTTTTTTTTTATTTTTTTTTCCTCAACAAATCTTGACGTTTTTAAGGCGATCAAAATCACAATATCTAATATTCAATTTTTCAACACTTCTAGTGGTAATGAAGATGTTTATTCAAGATAAACCCCCCGCAATAATAACGAAAGATCAGAATGAAAAAAGTTTCTATTGACTGCCTTAGAGAATGGAATGATTCTACAGAGTCTGCATTTACTGATATCATTTTCCACAAGAACATGAGCATCCGCAGCAGGGCTCCCTTTTGGGACTAAGTGATCCAGGAGGCACAGCGTGTTTCGGCAAATTTTGACAAGTTTTGAACCATTCTCCGGAATTCTTATCCATTTGCCAACGAGTTTGTTCCATGAGAGTCGGTTTTGGACTATTCCAAGTTTTCACAGTTTGGGGTTTCATCCTTGGCGGTTGCGGTGCCTGGCGATTTTGAGGGTCGCCCTTCCTGCAGGGACAACAGTCCCCTAAAAATATCACAGTAAAAATAATTATAATAAAACTTTCATCTCCATAAAAAACAATTACATAATTGTATATGTTCCAAGTTATTAGCTGAATTATACCTATTCAATTTTTTATATCATGTTCGAGAAGCAGGAAGTCGAGAAGGTGTTGCCCAGATATTGTGTCAGATTGATACAAAAAACCAGTAGGAAATATTTTTATAGATACTACATATGTTTGTAACTTTAATTTTTTACAGTCTTCTTATAATTGTTATAGAAAGTAAACTGAGTCATCAAAAGATTTTAACTAAAATAGCAGCTCGCGAGCTAAAGCCGGTGATCTAGGTACTGCAAAAACAGTAGACCTGGCAACTCTTAATAAGGCGCTCCTCTCGTGTAATTTCTTCTTCGTCTGTACTGGATTGTTTCACATGAAAATTTGTTATTGGCAAAACTAACACTATTTTGCGATTTTGTTTCACATATTAGGATAATATTCAGCATGTGGTATATGACAATTAATCATTTACCTTAATAATCGAATCATTAGGTGAAGTGAAAATAACTATTGAGTTCAAGTTGTGATTTATTTCGAAAAACATAGAGAGATAGTTTCATAATATGTAGAAAAGGAAGACTCAATATATTTAATTTTTTTATATAGTTCTTACGTGTTGATTTGTTGGAGACACCCTTTTCTGAGCTCTAATAATTTATCATCAAATTCTGTACAGTGCGTACCTACATAAAGTTTCGAAATTGATTTGCTAGTTCTTAATTATACTAACCTTTACAAAGTCTACGTTTTTCCGTCAACTCCGAGATTTTTCTCATTATGGGTTCCTCGCTTTCGCTCGCTTCTCCGTAGTTTATGATTGGCCTCTCTAAAGGTCTGTTATACTTGCTCTTATATTCAAACTCTTTCATGGCTCGATGCACTCGATTACGATTCCTAACTCGTAAAAATGTAAAAGTCACTTAGTGAAAAAACTTCAATCATCACCTTAGAGATAGATATACCTGCTTTGGAGCGTTTCTTCCAGTTCCTGAACCAATTCCAAATATTCTTCGTTGTTCTGGTAGGGCAGGTCCGGATGTTTTCTGCTGCCCTCTGATGTGTAACCATCGCTGTCATCCTCTTCAAAGTCTTCTTCATCATCTTCGATTCTCTCATCAGAACTGGAAGTTTCGTAGTGTGCTGTGTATTCTGGTGGACGAAATGGAACTGGTTGGTAACTGTTACATGATTCCGGTTTTCTAGGACAACGCCTAAAATAATATAAACAGAAACTGTATCATTTTGTTGAATGTAATTCTGTAATTGTTTTTAACTTTTTAGAATTCAATGTAATTTCATTGTGGAGAAATCAGCAAGTCAATATAAAAACTAATTTCCTCAGTTATGAACATATCACTGCATATAACCTTACTTGCAACTCCCGTCACAAGGAACAACTTTGACCATACGTTGGCTGGGCGTGGTGGGCGGCTTCGGCAGGACCGGATATATTTCATTTTTCGTTGGTTTAGAACTCTTGTTTCTCAGAGCCTGTTGGCACGGATAGGTCGGACACTCTATATAAGGCGATGCACAATAACGGTATTCTCTTTCTTCTAATGTATCACGAATATCAACATATTTCGCAGGGAATTTCCTAGAAGCTGTTGTCTGTCCAGACCTATAACTCTCTACCGTTCTTGGCGAAACACTTGGAGAGGAGAGGCTACCGTCGTGCCTAAAAGCACCAATCCTGAAATGAAGGACAATAATTGAAATGCTGAACAGTTCCAAAAAGTATTCATCGCATACCTAGGAGGTGAACATTTGCACAAAAGGCCGCTATGCCACACCTGGCACTCTTCTTCAGCACTCGTGGATGAATTCTGAACGGTTTGCACTCTAACAGACTCAGAATTGAACGTATTAATACTTGTATTTGTAGTTTCCAGTCGATCAGTATTACTGGCCGTATTTTTTCCGATGTTAAGTAATAAGTCGTCCGAGGTCTGTTGCACCTTGTCGCTCGTTAGAATGATTTTCTGCGAATCTTTCGATAACTGAGGAGAAAATTCCTTCTCAGGATATCTGTCCATTTTCCCCGTCCAGGTTTTCTTATTCTTCCGATTGAAAAAGACGGGATCGCTTTTTGAAATTGCCTTCTTTTTTAGAATGGAAGGAGGAGTTGTTTGAGACTGTTCGTCACAGTAACAAATCAGCTTGCGAAGTTGATTCTTGGCTGAAAAATTAAATGTATTTGCTGTCAGAAGTCATTTTGTAGAAAGGGCAAACGTTTTAGTCCACCCCGATAAGTTACTATATGAATTCGAAGCATTTTCCTCACAGAAACAAATTCTATTAATCAGCATCACCAATTCAACAACCACCAGCACCTTTCACAATGAGCTTTATAGCCCAGGACTATCTGAAAAGATAAGTATAGGTATAAGCCGAACGACTGGAAATAGATATGATATTAGAACGCTTACAAATACACCGAGATCTTTGCTCACCCTACAAAACCTAACAATACAGAAGAAAGAACAAAAAATTGATTATGTAAGATATCTTGTTCTTGTGGTAAAGTTGATTGGTGAAGAACATTTTTCTTTGATGAAGCTATTTTGAAATACTTCCAATTTAGGCTGTAACTTATTGAGGTGAATTGAAAAGTTTTCTCTTCCTACACCTTCATAAAGTTCTCCGTTACAATTTTTATATTTTTTCAAATTGTGGAAGGTATATCCAGATAAAGGTCTATAAAATCCTGGATATATAAGACCAAAATTGTGTTATCTTTATAATTAATAAAGGTCAAACTACAATAACATAAAAATTAGATGTTTGAATCGCAAGCAGAATTGATATTCGGATGATTTCAAAACATCTAACAGAAATCTAATTATTAATTAACTTACGTATTCGCCTCTCCTCAGAATTTAATATGGGAATACTTTTATCTCGTTCTTTGGAAATGGCAGGAGTTTTTCCCAGACCAATTTCAATGTCCTGAGTTTCCGTTTTGTTATTTGCGTCTGGTTGGTTAATGACAGGAAGACGGTTTCGATTCGAATTAGAATTGATAAAAACTTCGTTTTCTAAATAATTTATAACACCTTCCTGAGAATTTTCAGAAAAAGGAACTTGCTTTTTTAAAGTTTCACCACTTTCTCTAGACTGACTCTGTGGCAAATAAGGAACTTGGTTCAATGAACTTTCCGTTGTAGATGGCTCTTGGTTTTCCAATAATTTTACAGTACACTTTTCCGGGGAGAGAATATGGTTTTTTGAATTTTCCCCGCTTTGATTATCTGATGATGGAACTTGCTGCAATGAATTTTCTATGTTGAATGAGGGTTGCCGATTTTCTGGCTTTAAGATAGCAGAGTTTTCTGGAGATAGAGTCCGTTTTTCCAAAATTTCCCTCTGTTCCCCCAAATGATTATCTGTGAAAGAATTTGGTACTGATCGACTTTCAATCTTGTTTGGGGCAGATTGAAATTCTGGGTTTTGGATGAATGAATTTTCAGGAGACTGAATACGATCCGGTAAAGTTCCACTACTCTCCCTCGATTGATTTTCAGTTAAGATAACTTGCTCCGATATATTTTCAGGTCTGAATGAGCGTTGTTGATTTTCAGGCTTCTTAAGAGTGAAGTTATTAACTGTAATATAAGTTGCGCGATTCAAAGCTGATGATTCTGAAAGAGTTTTTTCCTCATTACCAAACAAATTCCATATGTTGCATCAATTAGAAAAAGAATAAATAAAAAGAATTCTGAAAAAATTATGTCTTGGCATTTTGTAGGCTGAAAAATTTCAATAAATATCTATGGTTCAAAGTGAAGGTATTTGAATTATTCTCAATGAATGTACACACTGTACCAAAATGGTTGATAAACTTTATTATTAATATTATAGGATTGCTTCTCAGCCTACAAAACGTTGAAGACCTTTTACCTTGATCATTTCGTTTCTTTTCCTTACGATTCGACGGGTTAAAATCTTGTGAATAAATTCTTACTTTCGCACAAGGTTTGCCCAGAACACTTCTACACCAGCCTTCACTTAAAATGCTGCTCTTGGAAAATGTAATATCCTTCTGAAAAGAGTCCGAGGTAATTTCTGAATCTGAATTTGACGAGTAAATCTCAACCGAAGACACCTCTCTTTCAGGGGGCTCCCGAGATATAATTTGGGTCTTGACTTTGGACGTTGATTCGAAACTCATCGAATAAAATGAGCAGTTAATTTTTCGCGGCTTGAACAATGAATTTATCTTTCTATTAAAAACCAATTTGCATATCTGTATTAATTTTTTTACGTTTAAAGGGAAAAAATAGAAAACACTGACGGCACTGAACTTCAAAAAAACTAAATGTCATTCTTCACTTAGTTACCAGAATAATTGCTAATAATGAAGTAGTACAGAGTAATTGAATAGAACTGGCCTATCTATATTGAAACTCATTTATACAGTTCATTGTATGATTTTCACTGTAAAGGGTTTTAGAAAAACCGCGACAAGTGTTTCACTATACAATAGCTTTCTCAAGCATTAATAATGTTAATTATTAGTCCAATTAATATAATGATTTTATTGGGTGAATGAGACATTATAGAGATAGAGCAAAATCACATGAATGCCACATCATTTTATGAAATATGAAAGTTCCTCAATGCATGGCCTTAACATTGACCTGTTTTTACATTTTTTTCTGATTGGGTATTCAAATCACTGTTGAAGAAGTTACTGTTAGGGAGACATGTGATATATTTTTCAAATAAATTTTGTAGAGATCAAATCGTAAGGTGTAGTTAATGAAATCTTTTTTTTTTCTAAGCGTGGCTTGAAATGATTCTATGTTTCATTTTTTGTGCCTCACAGTAATTTTTCTCTAGAATTGCCAGCAATCTATCAACATAAACAAAAATTACTGTTTAATAAAGCGAACATACAACTTTTCTTTGACTGCTATGCTTCTGTTCTATAAACATAGATTGCAATACTGTACCATGATTTTTTTATCTAAAGAATAATAAATAATCCGACACCAGCTTATTTTCTTGCTTCTATTGCTGTCAATAATCAAGTTTATCAACATTTCACTCCAAAAAATAATAACTTGCATGTAACCAGAAAATAATTTGGAAGTGGCATAAGTCCACTTTTTTTTGAACTATCAGATTTCATGAAATCCAAACCTTCGTTTATTATGTGAAAAAATAACTTACTGAAAAATAAATGGTAGAATTGAAACCTCGGCGTAGAATGAATCCAAAACAAGCACCTTTCCGAAACTTGGTTCAAGAAGTAGAAATAGTTGAAATAGAAGAGTATTGCATTTCTGGAAATAGAAAAAAGTGTTTGTTATGGATTTGACTTACTGAAGTTCATTTATGATCAAGTTTGATCCTTCATTTTTACAGATACAGTTTTTCTTTAATAAATGTTTTTCTCCTATTTTATGATTTCCATTTTATAATGCTTTTGCTTCTGTTGAACCAAATGTTTGGTATCATTTTATTTTGTGGATTATGTATGCATACAATAGAAATAATGAATATGAAAAGAGAATTGAAACTTTTTCTGTTTTTTACCACTTTTATTTGTAACTAACGTTACTGTAGTTGCATCTTCTAAGGACATTTCGAAACTTATACATTAAAAGTCGTAAAAAAACATAGAAAATTTCAATTATCTTTTCTTCATTATAATCTCCTACCATGTAGTAACGAATACATCCATCAATTCATAGAAATAGTGAAATTATTCAGTGATTTATTATAACAAAATTACATTCCTCGCCAAGTTAGGAATCACACGATAAAAGGTAAGGCCTCGTTAGTCCTTAGCTCGCACAAGTTTCTCAACTTCTGAGAGTTGTCGTTCGTATGGAGGCGACAGCTGATTAACGGAAAAAACAAGATTTTTTTTTTAAACAGTATACCTTATTGGGAATTCCCACTCACTCAATACATGTTATTTCGTAAATTCAACAGTATGAAACATGAATTATCGATTGTTTGGGTAATGCCTTGATCTATTTAATTCACAAAATTTGCTAACACACGCTATCTCTTCTGAATAATGAATAGTATGTCGGCTTCTGCAGTATTGAACTCGCAAAACCAATTTATTCTTCGGCAGTACAGTTTCACAAGAAGACATATTTCATGACCTAGAGAAATATCCAAGACTCAAAAGGTTCTAAAAAAACTACTTTCTAATGAATAATTATATTACTCTTAGAATGATTACAAAATACTGATTTGACAAAAATAATCCATAAAATTCATCTATAATGATCAAAGAAATATAATTTTTGTAAGGAATCTAATACTTATTTATTCATAATCATTCAAATAAAAATCACTCTATAATTAGACGTGATAGATATTTTTTTTTAAATATTAATAGAAACACAATATTTTGAATGATCAAGAATAATAGTTTTTCTTTAAAAAAAAGACTACGAAAACACTACGTTGTTTGGCAGTTATTTTTTGAATCGATAGAGTCAATGGAACCATTTTACATTGGAATAAATAGAAATTTCTGAAAAAAAATCAATGCGTGAATAAATGTTTTTACGATTTAAAAGCAAAAGTTAGGGTAAAATCAAAATCTTCATTTTCTACAGATTGCCTAAAAAGTTGAGCGTGCTGCCAGGAGACACCCCCTGTACCTCCGGATAGTTTAGCAGTTACTGTTAATTCTTTAGCTGAATTAAAGTCTCGGAATGTGGCTGTTTTTGTACCTGGAAATTGAAAATTGTTCACATTTTGTATCATGAAAAAAAAACATTTTTCATCAAAATAATGAACTGACCTTTTGGTATTGACATACATTTATCTCCTGAAGACATTTGAACTTCTACTTTTCCGCTTTTAATAGTAAAGTACTCCAATTTCAGAGTTACTGCATCCAAAATTCTTCCAGAGTTTGACCAATCAAATTTCCAAGATATGATCCCATCATCTTCTCCTTCTGTAAAAGTCCATTTTTTTCATTCTCAAAATTGCAATAGAACGTTAAATAAAAGATGTTTATTGTTAAATATTTACTAGTTGCGAAGTTGAACTATTCAAGGATAACAAACGATGTAGAATGTATCTATTTGAGTTAATTGAAATGGTGTCACATCCAGATCTAGCATCAATCATCGACTACAATTTATGAGAAATGCATACAAATCAAATTCATAATTATTCAAGTTACTCGACATTTTGGACATGTTCACAAACCTTATGAAAATTTGCGACATGTGGCCCATTAATAATTATTTTCACTTATAGATTTCTACTTTTGATGTCACGTACGCACCTTTCCTGGCCAAATAAACCATCTTCCAATCTTTCTCTTCCTTCCTAAAAATACTTTTATGGCTATAAGCTCCTTCATCCCAACCACTAACAGATTTGAAAATGTTTCCTTCCGAAATGTATTCATATTTGTCTAAAGTAGAAGAATAGCCAATGGTTGCAGTGTTTCCTACTAAAGTGTCTTTTTCAATTTTCCATACGAATGCCGTTTCCTTGGACGGTTTTCTAATTTCTCCTCTGGCCAGCCGCCAGACTTCTGAACCAGAAGTTCGACCTTTTTTTGAATCCTCATTTGGCTTCCTATACAATGGTGCAAAATTGAGAGTTTTATAGTTCATTATTGCCAAAACACATACTTTTCATTATGAAATTTGAAACATCCAAGAGGTTCACATAATTCTTAAAAAATAAGTGTGTTCAAAAGAATTTCTTTGAACTCATTGTACGATAGTGATCTTGAAAATTTATTGTATTAACAAAGTATCTATCTAATAAAAAACGAATGCATAATACAGAATATAAAATACTGAAGATAAAAAAGAACTTCTATAGGTTTTAAAACAAACTTTGTTTTACGAAATGATAACAAAAAATATTATTTCAAATCATAACTAGCAATTGAAAAAAATCAGATTCACAATGTATAAATATTGCTGCTGTACAGAGTGTGCTAAAGAAGTAAAACGTACTTTTCTTCATTATTGTCAAAAAATTAATGAATAAATTTGATTTTTTTTTTATTAGGAAATGAAAAATACATATGAAAATACCACCAACTTCTCAGTCAAAAATTCAACAAGTTCCATCAGGGTCCTCCTGAGCAAATAGTTTTTTCTGGGTTGCGACAAATTTTTCTGTCTATCATTCCTAATATGTAAGAGAGCTTCCAAGAGCTCTGTCTCTGAACACTTTTTTCTCCTTTTCAGAACTTCTTTATGGTCGCTGCTGTACCTCCAGGTGACATCCTGCACTTCTTCAGCTGAATATGCTATCACATAAGATATTTTCTTTTTCCATCCATTTTCATAAATCAGAGGCACATCACATTCATTCTCACAGGGATCGCAATGAACCCAACGCCTTTGAGTCACTGAATACACCTTCAAAGTATAACAGCTAGTTTCGAATAAAATATGACTAATATGCATTGGGGATTTTTCTCACCTCTGTCCAAACATGATCTCCCTCATCGATAATTAGTCTACTGTCCCATCCCATGGTTCGACAAAACAGTGTGAATACATTTGCCCACTCCCCGCATCTGCCTTTTCGGGTCTCTATTAGAATGTTCAGGTCATTGTACCGAGGGAAGGGCGTTTCATGTTGACACTTTTTGCACCTGTGATACTGACGAACGTATTATTTGTTAATATCAAAAGTTCAATATCAATTAAATATGACAAAATCAAACTTTTCATAAGAAATATTGAAATGTTTCAATTTTTCGATTAGTAATTGAATAAGTGGGTCAGATGATTCAACTTTTTATATTGTATAAAGCAGCAATTATTCAAAATTTACTCAGTGTGAATACGCCTGATCTATTGTATAATGAAACAAGTGTTGCGGTTTCTAACTGTTCAGTCAAAATCTCACAATAAAGTGTTACTTGAATACGTTATGAAATTTCAAGTATCGGCAAATTTCATCATATATACTGAAACTACACTTGAAATTTCATAAATTGATTCAACACTACCAAATTACAGAATTGTATGAAAATAAAATATAAAATCGATGATAATCAGTTGACGTCTTTCATTGGAGACTTTAAAAACACTCCTGCGACAACACAAGTAAAAGACAATGCATGAGGTCTTCTTCAACAACATTGAAGACCTCGGCTTATCTTTCCTTCACTTTCTTTTCCATCTGTTTTCTTCCAGTCACAGTAGATCCAGGGATTTCTCTGAGAATACTATGTAATACAGTATCAACATCAATAGTTCGTTATTGATGGAGTCACAAGGCTCTGGTTAAATCTAACAGAATTGAGACATTTCTGTCTCTATCAGAAGTTTTGATGATATCATCCACTATACGTAGAGTAAGGCAATCGCATAAATGTACTCTTTTCTGAATCCTAACTGAATCGTTGGCAATATGTTATGTGACCTTAGATAAAGTGGGTGATATTTTTATTCCCCTGGGGTTTTTATATTCTGGAGGATTTTTTTTTTTCTTGGGAATTATTCAAACTACTGTCTCTTTCCATGACATGGGAATGCAATTTTTCTTACAATACACTTCATCACAAGATTTTGCATGTACTTTGTCTCAGGTTTATACAGACTGATAACCACCACTAACCAATGAACATGTCTACTTCATTAGACACTCGAGAGATAGAACATAATTCAAAAGTATGTCCTAATAATCACTGTAACATTCAGTTGTCCATCTCCTTATAAATTTTCTAATTCATTTTACCAAGATTTTATGTATACCAAAAATTATTATCTGAATTTACCTCAACTTTATCAGAAAACAGTTCTAGATTACGTTCTGTGGACACATGGGAAAAAACAGTTTCACTACCACAACTTTCACATTCAGGATTATCGACCCAAACAAAAAAATCTTCCTTGAACCAACGTAATAATTCCAAGACCATCATATCCTGTATGGAAATTTCAGGATCCTCCAATTTATCTAAAAGTGAAAAAATAATATTTTTATCCAATGAATCCTGGAAATGTATCTATTGTCATGGTCGAAACCCAATACAGATAAGAACATTAAAGTTGGCTTTGATTGATATTCATGAATGAAAAAGAAAAAAACATACTCTTCTTTATACATTCTTGAATTCTCCTCAAATTTCTTTGGGAATTTTCTTCGAGAACTCTCACTGGGATAAGGCATCTGACCCTTTCTTGCAGATTTTTATCTTCATATTGCAGGGCATTGTGAAAATAACTTTCAATTTTATTTAAAAAATCATTTTTATAGATCTGTAAAAAAATGAGGGGTAGTAGCGCCTTTTTTTAGCAATAATCAAAAAGGATACAGTTGAAACGATACAAAAGGATAGGCAAAGAATGAACGTCCTGAATTGGAAAGACAAACTGTTATATAAGAAGAGCTGCAGAGAATATTACACTTTTTCCAAAACGACAATACTGAAAAAATAATGATTTTACTTACTAGGTTTGCAGGCGGCATCCTGTTACAACGAATGCTTTCTAAATTGCCCACTTCTGAATCTTTGCCATTACTAATATCAGCACATTTTTGATCTTCTTGTTTGGTATCAAGTACCTTATTTGGTTCTGACAAATTTAGAGAATCATCCTATAAAATATCAGTTTATTCGATGAAATTTCATATTGTACATCACTGAGAGGGAGGTAATCAGGGAGACCGAGATGATCATATTTGATGGTATTGAAACATTATTAATAATGAAAATAAACATTTGAAGTTAAAAGGTAGAAACTACACAAAAAAGGAATCAACACATACTGAAAATTGTGATATTGCTTATTTTTAAAGAAAAAAATATATAAAAAAATCGCAAGATGATAATATAAGTTTGGAAATGTTGATTCATTATTCTATTAGCTTTTCAAAACTAACCTTGCATTTCTCATTTTCACTTTGTTTTTTTTCTTGTTGCCAGGATGAAAGAGCTTGCCTGAATCTATCAACCACTTCTAAAGACGCATTTGAATTCATGACATACACATTTTTCTCCTGAAATAGATACCACATAAACAACTTTATTAATATTTACGACAATAACCCAATATCTACCTCTACAAATCCCATTGCTTTAAGACATTCTACTCCTCCACTGACAGATATAATTTTGGAAGTAACAGTTTGATTGCTTTTCTGGAGAGTACGAAATTTCAAGTTTTCAGGGTTTTCTAGAATATTATCAGCAATTTTACATAGTATTCTCACTGTTTCCTCGTACATTTTTTGTTGGTTCTTTTTCAATTTGTTCAAAATTTCCTGGTAGCTCATTTTAGGTATTATTAATATGTACAAAAATGTTGGTAGGAATTATACAGCACGACCTTGATGAATTATTGATACATAACAGAATAGATAAAAAATATAAACGTGTAAAGGCGATCTCATCTATAATTTTCACTAGTCACCACATATCACAACTACCTTGTTGTGAATATGAGGTTAGGAATAAGTAAAAATTTGTTATGACACCGCTGACAGAAAACAGGTGTTTGGTTTGTTAACATGTTCGATTCGTCCTCATGTAAATCAGGATGGAGCCTGGCACTCTTTCAACGTGTATTCGTCAGGATGACAAATGGTTCATAACTCAAGGTGTTGAGTCGCGACATAGAAGGTGCTCAGGCCTTTATGTCGCCCTGTTCCGGAGCACCCCTTTCTGACTAGGGTGATTGATAAAGAAACTATTCATCTTTTACGGATGTGATAGGGCCTTCACTCGACCGAGTGACGGGGCCTTCTGAAGCGGAAAGGGTCTTCTATAGCGTAATCTACAGTTCCTCCAACCTATGGGTTTTCATGACTTTCCGCAGATTCGAAAACTCTGGTTCCTCTACTGAATGGACTGCTATATGAAAGGTAGCTTCAAATCTCTGCGGATGACTTAATTCCGCACAAATCATGGAGAATTCACTAGCATCCTAAAAATCTTGTTTTGCAATATTTCCATAGTGGAGAGATTAGACTGAGCGGTTTGTCCTCAGGCACCTGGAGCATACTTGATTGGATTTTTATTGATCCTGATGCTGTCGCCATCAGCAGTTCATTCAGTGATTTTGAGAGTAGTCAATTTTGCGGAGGGTTGCAGTTGCAGAGCGAGGTAAGTCTATGACAAACACTACTCGATGCCCACGGACTCCGTACCTACCGTGTAGCTGGTCGTTGTCAATGCCGAATTGTACGTGTGTAAGTATTCGTTTGAAGAATACGTCGACTCCTCCGTCCACACGACCAACGCGGTTCTATAGTAAAACGGTAGTTTGGAATACCTTAAGATTCGGAGTGCAAGTGTGTTTCTTGTGCAAGTGCAACATCGATGTTTTGTTAGACTGAAAAATTTGACATCTTGTTTAGTATTCTATTGGCGTTCCAAAATATAACTTCAAGAGAGCTAGGTAACGTAGGTTGTCTAGCCTCTATCTCCTTCTATCTAAGTTTCTTAATCTGTTACAGGGTGGTACAGATGTCGGAAATATTGGGCAACGGGGGAACTCCGGTAAGGTTATGTCGATGGGGAACTCCGACGGCTGAAGCTGGCTTGGCAGAATTGTTTCCGCCACTCGCCGTTCCAGCGTAACTCATTCATGGACGCGTGCCTCCTGTTCCGGCAGGCCTTCCTGAGCGAGATGCATGTTTGATAGCACCTGCAACTACTTTGGCTGTCCTCCGCACCCTAAAGAACCCTGGGCAGCCGCAGGAGTCTGCAGTATGCGTACCTTTGCAATTGTTGCAATTTGGTGGGTCGGTGCGCGGTTTCTTGCATTCACCAGACCAGATACATAGCTGCTCGCCACTTCGATGATCGCGTGAGCGTGAGTATACGAGTCAGATTTCCTGACAGTAGAGGTACCCTCTATACCCATATTGAGGTAATAGTGAAAAAATATGTAATCCGCCATTTTGTAGCTGAGGCCATCTTGTTTTCACAATGATACAGTATTTTTAAAATTGTATTGTCGTCAAAACTAATTGTATGTACCAAATATCAGATCAATCTGTCAACAGGAGGGGAGTCAAATTTTGATTACTAAATTTGACCTAAACAAACAGGATAAACTAAATAAAACCGTTAAAAAAATGGAAAATAACCGAACGCAATTATTACTAAAGTGAAATCGTCTGGAGACTATAGCAGCACAAGTAGTAACAAAGAATTTTATATTTGAGATATGAAATGAGTGATATAGAATAGACACACCTCCAATATTAGTATTCGTGATTACTGACGGTTCAGAACAAGATAACTTGTTTTAAATTCCTCAATATTTTCTCACTACCAAATTAATTCTAATTTATTCAAGTGTTGCTGTCTCTTAGTAATTTGTCAATTTCCTGTCATTTGTCTCATCGGTCTATGCGTGTTTTGGGAGAAATGCAATTTGTCAAAAAGTAGTGCAATTGTAAATATACAAAAAACTTATTATTTATTATATAGAAACGATAAATATGATTAAGGCAATACTGGTATTCAACAATCACGGCAAACCCAGGCTATCTAAATTCTATCAGTATTTTGTTAGTAAAACTTCAAAGTAAATGAAACTTTCTTTATTTCTATACTTTTCAGGCGGAAGATATGCAACAACAAATTATAAAAGAAACTTTTCAGTTAGTTTCCAAAAGAGATGACAATGTTTGCAACTTTCTAGAAGGCGGCAGGTAATTCTTACAATATGTTTCCCCTAATTGTGTTTCCGAAGGAGCTGCAGAGTATCTATATTTTTGAAATTATTTTTCAGTTTGATTGGAGGTAGTGACTATAAACTGATATATCGACACTACGCAACCTTATACTTTGTGTTTTGCGTTGATTCCTCAGAGAGTGAACTAGGAATATTGGATCTTATACAAGTTTTCGTTGAAACGTTGGATAAGTGTTTTGAAAATGTTTGTGAACTGGATTTGATATTTCACGTTGATAAGGTTCATTACATACTCAATGAATTAGTGATGGGTGGAATGGTTTTAGAAACGAACATGACTGAAATATTGACAAGGATAGAAGATCAAAACAAAATGGAAAAACAGGAGGTATTTTTTTTAAAGGATACAAATATTATTAACCTGTATTTTGTTCATTTTCATTTCAAAAATCAAATTTCCAGAGTTTATCCTCTTAAATTTTTAATGTACACATGTACATGCTTACTTAATTATATTATACACCAATATATAAATTAACTTATGAAAAAAAAAATTTGATGTTTCAACTTCTATGAAAAAATTTGAAGGCATCAATTCTCATAGCATCTTAATTATCAAAAATGTACATTTTTTTCACATGTACACTGAAGCTTTTGGAAAATGGTTATTTTTGTAATAACTGAAACAGTTCTCTACCATTCTTTCTTCAGCAATTTTTATGATAATTTTATAATTACTTCTGAAATTTGATGGTAGTTACGAAAATTTTCATTTATCATTGTGAGCCAGTCCAGGACTTTTGAAAAATGTTTCCACTGCTTTATTGTGAATTCTATTTTTATTTCTTTCGATACATTTCAGGCAGTAGAAGAATTAAATTCGAATGGATATGTGCATAATATATGAACTGTGCAATTCTCTGACTCTCCTATATATTAATGAATTCAATTTCTTTTTCACTTTTTCTATGGATTCATTCGTTCGTTGTCAAATCAACACACCTCACTTGAAAATATAACTTCACTATCTCAAATTTTGATAAAATTTAAATGTACGTTGTGTATCGTCCACGAAATATATATAGAGTTTTAAATTTTTGTCAACACTCAAATAATCCTCTGTACTTATTTCATGATGAATTGAGAGTCCTACATACATATTTCTTATTTTTAATTTGTGAATTTCAGTTCTATATGTAATTTCCAGTCAGTAATTTATACTCATCATTTTTTATTGAATTTGAATGTGACTCCTTGGTTCAAGCCACAGGCTGAACGCTCATTTTTCACTTACTATCGTTCAACCCGTGTCAGGAATCACACGTTAAAAGGCAAGATCTCGTTAGTCCTTAGCTTGCACAAGTTTCGACTTCTGAGGGTTGTCGTTCGTAGGGGTGCGATAGCTGGTTAACGGAAAAAATATATTTTAAAACATAACAGAAATGTCCTACCCCAAAAACAAAATTACTTTACCATTTGCAAAATCAAATTGTTTGGCTGTAAATTATGATTCCAAAAAATGGTTTCTGAATATAAAATTTATGACTTCAAAAAAAAATGTATTTCATCAATAACAGTAAACATTAATAGAGCTGTAAATTATAAATGAAATGAAAGTTCACATTAATCTACTGAATATGTTATATTTTCAGGCTGGTATTGCAGCAGCTCCGGCAAGGGCAGTGTCTGCCGTCAAAAATATGAACATTCCTCAACAAATTAAAGACATCAAACTACCTGACCTCCCGCAAGCTATTAAGGACCTCAAGTTCTGACCTCAAGTCGAAAAACCCTATAAGAACTCAAAAATGTCCACTTGTTACCTTCCCTCTGATTGCAAATCATTACTCGAGGAACCTTCTTCCATTAAATATACCTGATGACCGTTCAATTGTGTGTGGGGTCTGCATTAATGATCAAATCATAGTTGAAAATTCGATTCATCTCAGAACACCAATGAAGTTACTAGAAATTAGTTCAAACCTTGTTGATTTTATTAATATTTTGTATATTCCAACAAATATGACGAATGTTTGAGATTTAAGTTTTCATACTCATTACTTGTATGAATGGTCTTGAATTGTAAGAGGCGAATATTAAAATAAACCTTTTTATTCATCTCAACTTTCCTTAATATCTCTTAAATTTATTATGTACGATGCAGATTGCTTTTCGGGGCGAAATATATGTAGTAATATTTATCGATTCAAACTCATTGATAACGATTATTATATGATTTTAATATGGATTATTTATTCATATATTTAATAGGCAAGCCTTAAACCATGTTTGTTTGAAGGTGGTTGACATTATTAAACTATGTAAATATAATGAAAATTTTAAAGTACATTTAAAGTAAAAAATATATACATACCATATCTATAGATTGTTATTTTAGATCACATTAAAAAAATACCAACAAAAAAAAACAAATATCATAAAGAGCTGTCACTAATATACTTCTTTGATGATAACTTAAATTGGTTCACATACAGTTGTATTAGACTTTTAAAAAGAGTCCACCTAGCATACATAGCCACTTTTTTACATATTCGAGAGAAACAGAAAAGTTTTTTATATATCAATAATACCCAAATATTTCATTTCAGTCACAATTTCAATGTTTGTTAGTCAATTGGAATTCTTATATGACTCCAAACTTTTGAACCTCTTTGGAATTAAAACTCGAACTCAACTAAATTCAAGAAAAATCGTTTACTTGATATTTTTTATTTAAAAAGAATAACTTTAGATTACAATCATTCTTACATTAACATACTAACTTTATACTTTTGTCTCTCTTGATATGCTCTCATTTTCCCCTCATGTTTTCTATAGCCTTGGATTGTGAATTTTCGACAATGTTCTTATCAAAAATTAAAATTGAAATTACCTAATCTGTGAAAGGATTGAATTCAACTTTTCTCATTGGTGGCAATGACAGCATATCAAAAGAATTGAAATTGGGAAGTTTGATTGAAATATTTATTACCTTGGTCAGCAAATCAGTTAAAAAAATCACAGTAGGTAAGTATTTTTGAAAAAGAGTAGATTCAACTTTTCTTATCGCTGGTAATAACATAAGAGAGATAAAAATATGTAGTATGAACGAAATTATTCAATGTGAAGATTGTATTCAGCAAAATAATTCGAAAAATCTCAAGAGTAAACTAATTCCCTTGCATAATCTTAAGTATGATGCCATCTTTATTGTGAGTCGTGTTCTATTTGAGCAGCAAAGTATTTTCTCCCTATTTTCACACAGTTTACAAAACTGCCAAATGTTTCACTAAAAAAAAGCTTCTTCAGACGGGTTCAATACAAGCCTGAAGAAGCTATTGTATAGTGAAAAATGTCTTGCAGTTTCGTTTTCACTAATGAAAATCCCACATTGTTTCAAATATCGGCCATTCTCATCACATACTCAAATAATCTTTTTGTATTTCGTTCACATCCCGAATCAAATAGCCTACTTATGATGCACTGTTTGGAACCTTTGGTGTAGTAATGAATATTACTGGAGTTTATTCCCAACACCAAATCGTTATTTTTAACACCTCGACACGTGTTTCGATCACCAAGTGATCATCTTCAAAGAGGAAGATTAAAACTGTTTTAATCTTCCTCTTTGAAGATGATCACTTGGTGATCGAAACACGTGTCGAGGTGTTAAAAATAACAATTTGGTGTTGGGAAAAAACTCCAGTAATATTCAAATAGCCTACATAAATAAACTGTTTAGTGAAAATCTCACAATGAATTGTTTTTTAAATACATCACAAATTTTCATCAAGTATCAGCCGATTTTATCACATATACAAAGTGAAGGGTTGGTTTTTTCATTTTATTTTTTAATGGTCGGCTTAAGAGTATTGCTGAAGGTGTTGACAAATTTCAACTTTTCATTCGATTTGTTGCCTGGTCTATTTCAATTTGCTTCAAGGCACATTTGATGACCTCTAACAATCCTTCTGAGAGTTCTGCTGCAGAGTAAGGTTGATCTAACGGTGGCACATGTATAAAAAGAGTTCTCTTCTTATTTATCTTGAGAGAATTGTAATAAATGAACTCGCAGAGATACCTAGGATGGATAATTTGTTTTTAATATATTGATGTTTGAATTGTATAAACACCTACCGTCCAGCATTATTAGAGATATGTGATTTAATTTTTCCAGATTCATTCAGTGTTGCACAAATATCTTTAATGTTAATCTCGGTAAATATACAGTCATCTCCATTGAAACAAGCTTTTCCTGTTGAATGTTTCATTCCAGAACAATCAATTCTCGTATATCCATCTCTGTTAGCACATTCTTCAATAGCTAATGTATCCGTGAAGGATGAAACCCCTACGTGAATCACCAACTGGGAAAATAATAGTTCTTGATCCAAATTATAACCAGATCATGAATCTACTTACAATTGGGTCGAGGTCTTGCCACAAAGAAGGCACTTCACATTCTACATATTTGTAAGTAACTGGAATTTCTTTTTTGACAATTTTTAAATTGTCAATCACTTCGGGCAAAAGCTTAACTGCCTGCCAACTGGCATTAACATTATGGTCTCCAAAAGGACCAAATCCTGTAACTAATATACATTCCGACATTATGCAAGTATTGACACAGATAATTTCCCTTATCTTGAGGATTTTTCTATACAAGGATGGAGCTGAAACCCTAACTAATACGAATTATGGAAAATTACATTTCAAGAACTGCAACTTGAAATGATTGGTACGCGGATGCATATTTATATTCAATTCGAGTGATAATTTCAATAAATCCACTCTTGAAGTAGATCGAACAATTTTTCAGACGAAGGTAGTAATTGTTATATTGACGAAAACTTGTCCTTTTTGTTCACAGAACCACCAAACTCAGAGTAAAAAAACTAAGACGTTACTCTGAGCACTCTGAGGTATAGAAGTAAACACTCTATTAGGGGACAGAACACGTACTTCTATCTCGGTCACCTCTGATGCTGTTGTCTCATAACAACAAGTTACTGGGTATTCACAAAGTGTAGAGTAAAAAATAAAGCGATCGTACATACAAGGACTATTTTGGATTTGACAGGAAAGATGAAAGAAACAGCTATAATACAACTGAAAACTGAAATTCCACAGTTTACAAAAAAAAGAAGTCAGGAATGTAGTTAACTAAAAAGATTATTTCATAAAGGCAGTAAGGAGCAATCAAGAGAAAATGCATCCCAAGATGAATCAAAAGTGACAAGAAAAATTATTAACCTGAAATTCTCATAGAGGAAACCTACTTAAACAAATATTCCAAAATATAAGTGAGAATATAAAGTGTGATCAGGCGAGGCGAACGGAAGTTAAGAGGGAGGTATAAGTTAGTGAAGATAGAAAGAGAGAGAGTTACGTTTCGTACATACTGTAGTGGCAAGAGACAAAGAGGGGTGCGAGCACACATTTACCGCCATTCGACCTAGAGAAGGCACTGAACAGTTAAATTTGAAGAACTTGATCGAACTGTTCCTGTTCTTATCGAAAACCTCTTCTTTTTAACTGTTCATGTTCACCTATTCTTAAATGACGTCTAATCTTGTGCCATGATCTGAGTAAATTGTATTCAATAAACAAAAAAACTATATTTGTTTTTGGAATTTCTCGATTTCTTTGGTGGCGCCCTCTTTTTTCATAATAACCATACATTTGAAACAAACATATATATCACATGATCGCTAACCTTATTTTCATGAAATTGTCTAGAGAAGGCACCTGCCATTTATTTTTCATGCGATATGAATTTCGAACGGTTATTCCGAGCAATTCACGAAGAGTTGACCTGTATGGATGAATATATGGTAGCACCATTTAGTAATATAAGATGATGTTTCTTCATTTCTGATCTTTCCGCCATCTATTGCTCGATAGCGGCTCTCTTTAATGACGTTGACGACGACATGTACAGATTTATTGTTGAAGGTATTTTAGAACAGCGACTGAAGAAAACGCGGATATAGTAGTCATTCAGGAGCCGAACAAGAGTATCATCCGGAAAGACACAAAGTGGATACTGGACCTTGATGAGAATACTGCTATATGGTGTAGAAACCGAAATTGTGGGGTTTTGGACCACGTCTCAGAGCAAGGATTTGTGTGCCTTAATTTCAAGAACTGGGCTCTCTATAACTGTTATGTTTCACCTAACATTCCACTCGCCGAATTCAAGTCCTACATCGATAGACTGGCAAACCATATACGTGATGGTAGGAAAAATAGCGTGATCATAATGGGTGACTTTAATGCAAAGTCCAACCTATGAACCGAGCATAGGGCAGACGCTAGGGGCCAATACGTGGAGGACTGGATTAACGAGCGAGATATGACAGTTCACAACATATATAATGAACCCACTTTCATTAGGGGAATGCAGTCCTCCACGATTGACCTTACACTGTCCCTAGGAAGAATTGGGTCGAAGATCAAGGAATGGCAGGTCTCGCGGGAAGAAAGTGGTAGTCTCCACAGGTATATCCTCTTCAAAGTTGAAGGACACCACAAACAAAAAAGCGATAAAGTTCCCCATAAATTTCTCGGACTACCGGTCTTTAAAGACACTATACAGTTGCTGGGACACAATATCCATGACAGGCGGGGACTGATAAGTATAGTTAAAAGTGCTCAAAAACTGGGCTCAGATACTAATAATGATGGGACTAATCGGGAACAGCCTGTGTGGTGGAATGAAAACATCAGAGAACTAAGGAAAAAGTGTCACCAGGTCAGACGGGAACTAACAAGACTGCGGAGAGAGAACGACGATCCGGAACGGGTGCTGGCCAAGGACAATGAATACAAAGACACCAGAAGAAATCTGCGGAGAGCTATAAACAGGTCTCAAAGGGAGGAATGGAGAAAGCTCTGTGACAGGCTAGAGGAGGACCCATGGGGGCAAGGCTACAAAATAGTAGTGCGCGATTTAAAAGGCTTCAAGGCTCCCTATGATATAGACCAGACTAAAAGGAAAGATATACTAAGGGAACTATTTCCCCAGACAAACCTAATAGACTGCGGAGAATACGACCTTAGGGGAGACGCCATCCACCCTTTCACTAGGACGGAACTGGATGAAGCAATTGGCAGGTTGAAATGCAATAGATCACCGGGGCCGGATGGAATATTACCGGAGGCGGTCAAGTGCGCTGTTGTATGTATTCCGGAGACCATACTTACCATCTTAAATGAATTATATTGCCGAGGGGAATTCCCGAGGGAGTGGAAGATTGGTAAAGCCATCCTTATACCCAAGGGAGGCCATGGGGGTGAAAAGAAATACAGGCCGATATGCTTGCTGGACTGTTTTGGTAAACTATATGAATACTTGTTGAAGGCCAGGCTAAATGAGGAAGTTGAACAGAGGGCAGGAATTTCAAACAGGCAATTTGGATTTAGAGTCGGCAAATCTACTGTTGGGGCTGTGAGACTAGTCATGGAAAAAGCAACTACAGGGGGAAAGACATGGGGAGCTATAATCCTCATTGATATCAAAAACGCGTTTAACACCGCAAAATGGCATCTAATTATTCAGGAACTAAGAAGACTACAGATTAGTGATCATCTACAGAGGGTCATAGAAAGCTATCTGAAGGACCGAGTGCTACAATCTGGAAACTTCCTTATTGACCTCACCCAAGGGGTTCCGCAGGGATCGGTGCTGGGCCCAGTGCTGTGGAACTTACTCTATGATGGCATATTGAGGCTGGATAGAATGGAGAACTGTCTGACAGTAGCTTACGCAGATGACCTGGCTCTAGTGGTCACCGCCAACAGTAGAGAGGAAATGATGACCTCGGCCAACCGTAGTTTGGGTAGGATTGAAGCATGGACCGCGGAACATGGACTCGAATTAGCCCCGGAGAAAACAGAGGCTATCATTGTAAAAGGCCCCAGAAAGAGAGAAGGTATCCACTTCGTAGTCGGAAATGTGGACATTCGACCAAAAAAATATGTCAAATACCTAGGGGTGTGGTTGGACGACAAGCGTATATGCAATGAACATGTCAAGAAAATCTGCGAGAAGGCCGACAGGCAAGTGGCAGCCCTTACCAAGATCCTGCCAAATACAAGAGGGCCGGGAGCACAAAAGAGAAAAATATTATACGGTGTAGTTCAATCTGTGCTGCTGTACGCGGCACCAGTATGGGGACAGGTGATTCGAGTAGATAGATACAGAGATATGCTGATATCCATGCAGAGGAAAATGCTGCTACGAGCCGTGATGGCGTATAGGACTGCTTCTGCCGAGGCGCTATGTGTAATAGCGGCAATACCACCAATAGACCTAAAGGTGAAGGAAAGGATGAGATTGTACGATTTACCAGAAGTGGATAGCAGGAAGAGGAAACATGAGCAAGAGGTAACCTTGGATCTGTGGCAAGAGAGATGGAACCAACATAGTCGAACAGCCCAGTGGACAAAAAGACTTATACCTGACCTTAGAGTTTGGATTGAATGTAGTTTCAGAACCACAGACTATTATGTAACCCAGGCTCTGGTTGGCCATGGCTCTTTTAGGGCCTATACAAATAAGATTGGCAAAACGGCTGATGAGCGATGCGTGTACTGTGGAGGTAGGGACGATCCTTGTCACACTCTCTTTGAATGTGATCGGTGGAATGTGGAGCGCACAAACCTAGAACTGACCCTGGGTGACAATATTTCTCCAGATAACTTAATACATAGGATGATCCAAGACCGAGATACTTGGAAGAAGGGATACAGTTTTCTTCACAATATAATGAAGATGAAAGAAAGGGAGGAGAGGAACTTCCGAGAACAAGAGAGGCAACAGTAAGGAACATACACTGGAAAATTTTTATTTAGGGATATGACAAATATGGGAAAAAGAGCTGTTGGGGAATGTTTGAAGTATGTCCTAACGGATAGTTCCGAACATTCCTCGGACACAGGGGAGGTTTTTAGTGGGTAGGCTAGGAATTTTTTTTTCTTCTAGAGTCCCACACTACCAGGGAAAGGCAGAACCAGTACCTGGTGCGCATGAGCGTTTTCCTCCCCACCAAAAAAAAAAAAAAAAAAAAGGTTAGGTTAGGTCAGGGTAGGTTAGGTTCGGTTAGGTTAGGTCAGGGTAGGTTAGGTTCGGTTAGGTTAGGTCAGGGTAGGTTAGGTTAGGTTAGGTTAGGTCAGGGTAGGTTAGGTTAGGTTAGGTTAGGTCAGGGTAGGTTAGGTTAGGTTAGGTTAGGTTAGGTTAGGTTAGGTTAGGTTAGGTTGCCGAACTCAAAGTTAGCCAACTCCGCCCGTATATAAACGACACCATGGCAGCCACACTCACTATGCCTAAAGAACTAGCGGACAAGCTGTTGGTAAATGAATATATCAGAGTCGGGCTAGTGAGATGCAAGCTAGAAAAAAGGGTCAAGGTGCCTAGATGCGGGAAGTGTTGGGCCTTTGACCACGAATCTGATAAGTGCAATGGCCCAGACAGGACCAAAAATTGCTACAGATGTGGGGGGACCGAACACGGGGCGGCAACATGTAAGGATGAGGAACTCTGCCTTTTGTGTAACGAGCCGCACAGGACTGGCACACTTAAATGCAAGGCCTTTAAAGAAGCGCTGAAGAAAGCTAGGTCCAGCGAACAGAGGCACAGAAGAGCTCTACGACAGGTAGCAAATGAACCAGGAGACAAACAAACAAGCGTACCGCTCCAGGATCTGATAATAAGAAGCACCGGTCACGAAACCACCGACCCCACATTAGGAGAATTCCAAGAGGAGATGGAAGGGGATTCTCCCCTGCTAGCACTCCTGCACTGAGAAGAACACAAAAGTCCATTATGCTTAAGGTTCTACAATCTAATCTAGGGAGGGCAAGGGCCGCACATGACAACGTGCAGATCGCAGTAAGAGAGCATCAGACTGA